TACGCTCAAAGGGCTTTAGCAAAGAAAGTCCAGAGTCAGAGATAGTTGTTGAACAGATAGGTCTTCAGGAGAGCTTTGAATGATGGAAGAGAGTCAGAGTGTTTTAAAGAGTCAGGGAGCTGATTCCATTTGACAGCTGCTGTCACACTGACAGATCTGCCTCCGAATGTTTTCAGCTGAAATCTGGGAATGTCAAGGAGTTGCTTTGAACTGGACCTGAGACATCTAGCTGGCTGGTACTGTGTCAGGAGTTCACATAGATACTCAGGAGCAGTTCGGTGAACACACTGGTAGGCTAGGCACAGGAGTTTAAAAACAACACGAGCACGGATGGGCAACCAGTGCAGCGATCTTAAGATGTTTATGTCAGCGGACTGGGGTGACCTGGTAACCATACGAGCAGTTTTATTTAGGATTCGCTGGAGGCGGTTAATGTTTGACTGTGTAGATTCAGCAAGGAGACTGTTGCAATAATCCAGCCGGGACAGGATGAAGGATCTCGCTAGTGTTGCTGCAGTATCTTGGGTGAGGAGATGACGTATACTGCCTATGTTCCGCAGATGGTAGTTGCAGACTCTACAGAGCTCTGAGACTTGTCTGTCCATCGAAAGATCTGATTGAAGATATACTCCCAAATTCTTCACGGATCTGGAATGTGGGACTATGATGTCACATATTGGGATGTCAGTCGCATCTAGTTTCTGGGGTCTCTGTCTTGGTCCAATGAACATGGCTTCCGTTTTGCTGTCATTCAACTTCAGCATGTTGGCTGTCATCCATGTTTTGACATCGGTTGTGCTATTTTTGCAAGAGTTGAATGCTCAACACCAGGAGAAATAATGTTGATCAACCGGGAGTCGTCTGCATAAAAATGATGTGGTACTTCATGGCTATTGAGAAGCTCTCCCAGTGGTTCAGTATATAGCGTGAACAGTACTGGTCCCAACACAGAACCCTGGGGCACGCCACAACATAGATCGATCCTTGATGATTGTGTGTTTTTGATGATGACATTCTGACACCGATCTGACAGGTAGGAGGAGAACCAATCATGGACACATCCTGACAAGCCATACTGCATCTCAAGTCTACACTTCAAGATCTCATGGTCGATTGTATCGAAAGCTCCGGATAAATCCAACAGCACAAGTCACCACGGTCAACCACTGAGCGCAAATCGTTCACAACTCGCACCAAGGCCATCTCGGTGCTGTGTGATCTTTTGTATGCTGATTGAAATTTGCAAGACAATCCGTGGGTATCCAGATGTTGAGTTAGCTGTTTTGCAACAGCTTTCTCTAGCATCTTCGAGGTAAAGGAAAGATTAGATACCGGGCGGTAATTGCTGAAAGTGTTCACATCAAGGTTCTGCTTTTTCAGGAGAGGCTTCACGGCTTCTTTGAAAGCTTTGGGAACACGTCCAGTCTGTAAACTGGGGTTGACGATGTGTGTGATGACAGGAATCAGAACATCGCTCACCTCCATCAGCAGACTGGGTATTGGATCTAGTTCACAGGTCGTCTGCTTGGATTTCTTGATGAGGGTTAGCACTTCACTTTCCAACACAGGTTCAAACTGAGCAAGTCGTTCCCCTGAGATATGATCGTGGGCCGTGATATCCTTGGATGTTGAAGACTGCAAAGTTCTTAAATCTGCTCTGATGTTGTCAATTTTAGTGATGAAGTAAGAATTGAACTTGTCAGAGAGAATCTCATCACTTTCCTCTGTTGGAAGTGTCTTTGATCCCCTTTTCCTAGGAGTTTTGACAGTTGATTCCAAAGAACTTTAGGGTTGTTTGAGTTGGAGAGAATCATCTCACGGCAGTATGTTGACTTTGCATTCCGGATGAGTTTCTTCAAATCGGTCCTTGCTTGCCTGTCAACTTCTAAACCAGATTTGTTCCACTTCCGTTTGGCTCTACGCCTGTGCACTTTTGCCGTCTATATGTCACAATTGTACCAAGGTGCATTTGGTTCGTGTAACAGAGGGTGCGTGCTTGTCTAGCAGGTCACCCAGTGTGGAGTCATACAGATCCACTAGTTCATCGATGTTTGATGGAGGATCCAAGACAAGCTTGGAACTCAACAAATCCTCTCTGAAAACATCCAGAGGAATACCTTTAATGTTTCTACACACAACACACTTTTTGACCGGAGGGGGTTTCTGAAGATCGAGTTCAAATGAAATCATGAAGTGGTCCGACATTTGACGATCCTGCACTTTCATCTCACTTAAGTCAAGTCAGATTCCCTGGTGATAAGCCAGTCAATAGTATGCCCCCATTTATGAGTAGCAGGCTTAACATGTTGAATGACACCATTTGCATGGAGGGTTTTTCTGCAAGCTTCTACATCAGTCTTTGTCAGGTCTTCAAAGTGGGTATTAAAGTCACCTAGTATTAGCAATGGGCCTTTCTTTGTAATGAAACTTTCAAGCAACAGAACAAAGTCACTTACGAATTTGGATATAGTCAGGCCATTTGCTTTGGATGGTGGCGGTCTGTATACAAGTACAACTCATACAGACTTATTTCCAGCAGTGATAACACATTCCAGCAGCTCGAACGACGGCTGATTGAGAGACACAGAACACATATCCACAGTGAGGCTTTCCCTGTGTATTACAGCAATCCCTCCACCGGATCCAGTTTGTCGAGGTAGACTGTGCAACGTGTAACCGCCGGGTGTTATTTCGGTCATCAAACTGTCATCAACAACTGTTCGGAGCCACGATTCTGTGATAAACATTACATCCAAGTTCTCTTCAACAATGAAATCTGCAATTTCTAAAGTTTTATTCCTGGCTGACTGTGCGTTCCATATGGCAGCTTGAACTTAGATGATCTTTTCGGTGGGTGAACATTTATTAGGTTATTTACATTACATGTTTTTGTCCTTCTGAGCTCATTTTGTATTACATGGGTCTGATTTTGTTTCCTGTGCCCAGCTCGCTTGCCTCGTCTTGTGGTCTTATGTCTTTGAATACCAAGTTCACAGATATGCTGATAGACTTGAGTGTTCAGCCTTTGTATCTGGGCTTGACTGCATCAGAGACCATATAATAGATATTATTAGATGGTCTCTGATTGCATAGACTGGTGATGTAACCTCTGCTGTAGCCCACCGGTGATTGTGCTTCAATCAAGCTCTTTTGTCCGTGCTGTTTGGGCATGGTGAACATAGCCTCCAAAACTATACAAATTGTCCATACAAATGTCAAATAAGTCAACATTTGGAAAATGTGCAATTTTCATATGAAAATATGCACAACTGTGTTAGGAACCAGCATGCCAGACATCACAGAGAGAGAATGGGAATACACAGATGAAATATGCAAAATACTGCAGAGCAAATTAAGCGTGCTGCCTGCTAGGCGCTCAGCTCATTTCAGTTCCGATACTTCCCAAACTTGTAGAAAGAATTGTTTTACAAACATTAAGTAAATGGCGAGTACGTTTTACACCAGGAAATAAGATTCAGGTACTCCATCATCACTGGCAGATATGTGTGGACCTCCTGAATGTTGAAAAGTAATTAGCAACCAATGTCATCAACAAAGCCCATCATAGGTATTCTGGAAACTTTTCAGTCATCACTCGTTCATGGATATCGCTTTTGGCAAAGGAGTGTGCATTCTGTTAACATGTCGCCAATATGAGCTAAATGCAAGCTTGCCATGATGAAGTAAGTTTGTTTGTTTACGTGTTGGCTTTCCTCAAACTGAAATAATCTTCAAGAACCACGTCACTGCACGCAATATGAGAATAGCTAACAGACCTGAGGGAATAAACCATAACTTTCTAGCTGGTTATTTTCTTTACCAACCCACCTCTGTTGCATATCATTTTCTAACTTATGCAAGAATACTAGTCAATGTGGGGGAGTACAATAATGTCAGTAGTTACACCAGCTCGGAAAGTAAACTTTACATTTCTAAAACTGTAGCAGGGTGATAATGCCATGTAATGCTTTCGAAAATTCTAAGTAAATATATCTTGTCATTACAGGTTATTGTCGTTGGTAAACAATGGCGTTTTAGTTGTTTTATGAAAGTAAAATAATAAATACAAAAATGTGTAAAACTGTATTAAAAACATATAGTGGTGGTTGTCTTTTAGTTATTTTGTGGTTCGGTTGTAATATCAATTATTCTGACAATCAGGTGTATTTCATTATTTATAAACAATGCCTTTGCTTTTTCCTAGTAACAGTGATTCTGGATTGTCAAACTGGCTCGGCTCATTATGGATCAGGTATTAAAATTTTCATCAGGTGACCAAATACAATGAATTCTGAGTAATCATGTTCAGCCTTGTGACTTCAAATTTCCCTAGCCATGTGCCACTCTGAACTAAACATCACAGGTGGAAATGGTAGTTCCAGCTTGCTTAACATTTCCAGGTATTTGCAAACTTTGTAAACTGTTTCATTTAATTTTACAGGTAAACCCAACTTAGTATTTGTCGCCAGTTTAAGCATGTGCTTAATGTATAATGTGTATTGGCTGCATGTGGAGGTCCCCGGCATGCCATGATACATAGTTGTTAAAGTACCGCATGTTGGCACTGACATATGACCTACCTGCTTTTGTTGTATGCTATGTGTATGCTTCCTCCTGCACTGAAGTACTGGTATAAGACCAAGTTTTGAACACATGAGAACTGACTACAGATGTGAACTTTGTCAAGTGATGATGGTTCAAAAGTTAAAAATTTGAACATATTAACTATAAATTGTAGCTCTATAATGCTTATAAATATATATTCAGAATCCTATCTCAGGTCATGCAGTTCTGTTCTTTCGACCATGTAGGGGCGAGATGTTACGTGAGATTGAAACTTTCCAGCTGTTTCGTTTTCGTGGTTGTAAGTACAAGAGAAAGTGCAAAACGTGAGAAAGTATAAGTCTAAAAAATCATAATTTACGGAATAATGGTGAACTGGAAGTTTGCTTCAGGTACTATTATATCAAAGTCATAAACTGAAAGAGCCAGGATGCATTTTCACATGAAATTTATTTGTTTCTTCAATAATACTGGACATAGGTTACATTAACAAATGGCAACACAGTTACCAGTGTATATACAGGCAATCAAAGTTTGTTTGCAACTTATCAACAAGAATAAAGATAAATATGAGGATTCATTGTGTGTATATCTTATGAACAAATGTCAAAGACAATATTACATCAACAATTACGCAGCATGCAGAACCAAGGTTAACGTAACACTTACCTATAATACAAAAAAGTAATAATCAAATATCATAATGTATATTTGTAGCAATTATTTTATAATTTAGCAACATATCTTCATTAACTTTAGATGAATCACCATATTTGTCTCAGAACCTGAGAGCATGTGCAGGTAATGTTATGTGGAAGTTGTCTTCATTAGAGTCCTCCATCTGTTTCGAAGATCCTCTGCCCTACGACCCCGTGAAAACCGAAACATACTGATTATGCCCTTCCAGTTATAGCCTAAAGTCTTCACTCCACGGCGCAAGCGACGTTCTTCACACATGGAGAACGGCTTGCTGTCTCTTGCTCTCTTCTTTGAAGCACTGCTCGACTTTACCTGAAGTAAGGTAAACTGGACTAAACCAAATTATTATGAAACACTTAAGTCCTATTTTCCGATGTTCTTTTGTAACTTGTCTCTGAGGTCCAAAATATCTATCATTAACATATTTACCTACGATCAAATATGATCTGTGCTTAATACAGGGAAGTAATGACTTTAAAATGTGCTAAATTCTGATTTGAGGTTTCAAATAACAATAACAGTACTGTGATTAAAACTGACAATTTGATGCAGATCAATCAAACCTCTCAATACCTGCATTCATTCAATGTAACTAATGCTCTTTCTTCCCTTCTGTCATTATACAAATTTGATCTAAGCCTGTCTTAAGGCTTTTTTCACATGATTATCCATACCATTCGCCTGTGCTTTTCCCTAAGGTCCACTGCTGTGCGTGAAGGATGGAACTTGTAGGTGACAAGGATCTGGTTCCACTTGGTCCCAAGGGTCTCCACCCCATGTGACAGGTTGTCCAGCTCCTCCTGACTGTATGCTACACGCTTGCGCTTGTGCTGCCTGGTTCTTGTCCGATGCAGTTGCACAACATCCACTGTTTTCCTTGAATCAGTTGGGTGTGGTGGTGACACAAACTGAACCAACATAGAGATGTAGATCATTTTACTAATATCAGTTTCTGCAAAAGGCGGGACACTTGTTTTCAGGTGCTGGAATTCACCCTGCAGTTGCCTGTAATAATATTTACACAAGCAGGATTTCCTTTTTCCATTGTCATTAATGGTGTTTGTAATGGATAACTAACTGCCCAGCATAACATTTGGCTTCTATGTAATAAAATTCAAGTGACGTTATTACGTCCTCTAAGTTACCAAACACATTCACATACAAATAACGTGCAATAGGAGTGTCGAGAGATCAGTTCGTAGGTTTGTAACTTGTCAAGTCAATGTTGTGACCTCCATAAGGGTGCTATGATGAAATTTGCTGCTCTTGCCTTGGGCTTGAGGCTTTGAATCCCATACCATCCACAGATCCCTAACCTATATGAATCCTGGCAGCTAATGCATTATCAATTTTGGTTGGTCAGCAGCAGACTCATGTTTATAGCTTTCACAAATGAGTTATACATCCCCAGTTTGTGTCCTTATGGGCTTTCTTCCAAGAAATATGTTAATACACCCTGCATATGAAAAACTGTTTGTATTCCCAAATAACTCACTCAGTTTTACATATACAGTGTTCAAAGGTGAATCAAAGGGGCTGTAAGCACTACTGTTTTTATCCTCGCACCCATTGGGCTATGTTTGTTTGTTTAACCCTGCCCTCAGCAATAGTCAACTGGCAAGACATTGGGCCAGGACATTTACTTTGGGGAACTATTTCTTGAACATCTTCCTAAATAAGGTCACAAAACTGGGAACTTGTTAAAAGCATATAAGCACCTGTCGCTGAGAACTGGAAACATCCCACTGCAGTTTATCTGGGTAATAGGTTTCAAATGAAAATACCCTAATGCTCTCATCTTCCAACAAGACAGGATCTGCCATTTATGTGGAGACTGGATCATTCTCACATAAAACAATTAAATGACACTGGTTCATATTAATATCTTCTCATCTACCATCAATTCTGGTAAATTAAAAATATGTGTGATGAGTAATCATTAAAAATTAGAAGTAATTTATATCCCCAGTTTTCATCACCCTCTTCAGTTATGATCCCCAACTGTGGAACTATTCAATAGCAATAGAAACAACTGAAACATACTCTTTTTCCAATGTCTGTTTCACTACTGGAAACATGAAAGTCATATGCAGCAAGTCCTTTGGCAGGAGGACATGATCGGCAAAAATTCGCATCACTTAAGGCAGGAATGGGACGGGATTTTGAGGGAACCTTGCTGGATTTTTGTCTGAGAATGAACTCCCGTTCTGCCTCACGCATTTCACGATGATGAATACATGTGCTGCTGTTGGTCTCCATGGCAATGTTGTAGGTACGACTGTTGAGGAGGTCATACTGCAGCTGACAAGGAGGGTGACAACCTGATGAGGGAAATGTTTCAATAATTCAGTAAATTGCCTTGACATGGAATCTTAAACTATAACATGGAAACACTTGTTTTCATTGTTCATCTTTCACAAAAAAATTGGCCAGTTTAACCTGTTTTACAAGAATGTCAGTCCAATTAAAAACCCTATATGGGCACATTCATTCAACATGAGAACCCTATGTATCCACACCCCATTGGAGTTCCAGGTTTGAATTGGTGTCAGTAATACATGCCTATCGTAAAGGTGATGAATAGGTTCAGTCAGCCAGTCTTTCCAACTTGGCTGATCTTTGTCATTGTATCCCAAATGCGTAGATCAATAGTCACTGGTCCACCTGGCCCAGGCAGGATGACTTACAGATCACTGAAATATTACGGAGTGCTGCATGTAACAAGAAACAAATAAGCTATGTATCCACACTTCTCAAGCAGCCTACCTGGACACAAACCCCTCATTGTTTGATATTTGTCTGTCCTCTTTTCTTGGTCATCTGAAAACACCAACAAACTTCAAACAATTAGAAAAATGTTACAAGTATTAGGAGGTACATTTATAGGTATTCTCAGAAGGTTGCACCTTGGGGCCCACGTATGGCACACTAAGTACTTATTTAACCTGGAAATGAACTTGTACATTCAGTAACATATTCACACAATAGCCTTACAGGATAAAAAAGTTCCAAAAAGTAGTTCTGTCTTTGTGGTTATGAGTGAGTGAGTGTGGTTTTACCCAGCTTTTAGCCATATTCCAGCAATATCACGACGAGGAACACCAGAAATGGGCTTCACACATTGTACCCATGTGGGGATTTGAACCTGGTCTTCAGCGTGACGAGCAGACGCTTTAACCATTAGGCTACCCCATTGCCCCTTGTGGCTATGACCTCAGTTAGATTACAAAAGTGACATACCACAAGCTTGGCTCGTGAAACATTATACTTGTCTAATATAATTCAGTAGCACTGATACTGCCTGCAAACTTTAAACTACTTTTGGTGGTTTGTATCATTCATGCAACGTTTCATGTTCCTGTTTTGTACCCTTATGATCTGCAAATTCTTGTGAACTGAGACTTAAGACATGGAGTAAACTTATTTCTTAGAGTAGCTTGTTGAAGACATTGAATTTCCAGAATATGATGTTCATGAAAACTTAGGATGATTTTTGTCAGGTTTACTGAATATTAGGCAAAAGCATTCATGACAAGGTTCATACAGACAATTCAAAAGATGCTAATTTGGTCAATTTAAAAAAATTAACTGAAATCTTTCATTTTTGCCTCACTGTTTGATTGGAAAATGTACATGCTCAGATGACAAAAGTCTAAAAAATCTAACAATTAAAACCATACAAACCCATCGAAGACTGGAAAAGATCATTCTCAATTGCAAAAGCAAAAAGTACAGTGAGGTAACAGCATTTTAAAAAATTAGGGCCATAAGGATTCAATAATGAAAATTAACATTGTCAAAAGTATACCTATGGGCTAAATAAAACTTCCATACCTGATATATATATTTCCCTTACATGTTGTCTTCCTGACTACTTATAATGTTGAAGAAAAAAGGTAACAAACTGTCACAAACTTACTATTTTTATGCAATGGATAGAGTCAGGTATTAATTATCACAGCCCATCTTTACCCCCAGGTTGAATAAAACATATTCCAATTCAGGTTACCAGAATGAATACCTTTTTGGCATATTTGTAAACACAAGAATCCCTTATATACATTTCAATGTATGAACAGTTTGAAATTAATTGTTCACTACATTATTACAATTGGTTTTAATTATTTTATCCATGGTGGTCCAATAATTAAAACACTTAAAGTAAAGTTCTAAACTTCAAATTCCACATAAATCCTTGTCAATTAATAGATTTGTGAAGGCAATGTTTACATGTCTTCAGTAAATGTCCACTTCCTGTTGACCTTAACCTTTATGTGTAATGTCAAAGCTCACAGGTCATGTCATGACCTCTTCAAAGCTCATGCAATTTGAGGCCCATGCTTTCCAGTGTGTATATCACCTCCATGCTGCCTGGTTCTCACCAAGCAGGTTGTTATCTGAACTATGTAAAAACACATATGTAAGTACCTTAGACTTTCAGTGCTAGGTTGTACTATTTCTAAATTAATTTGAAATTGTATCAATGCAAAAATAGTAATTAGTTAGAGCCAAAGGATTAAATTTTGTAAATTTGTGGTTATTAATTTTGTATAATTTCAATGTATTCATACATCATCAGGATGTAATCTTGAATGTGCAGAGTACTTTGAAAATTTAACATTTTCTCAATTCTATATAAAGCTGTTGTTAATTGTTGTTTATTGAACCTCATACACTTGTTAAGTCTGCACCAATTCTTTATAAAAAACTACTGTACTATTGATTGTCATGACAAAAGTCACAAAATAATTAACCTTGTTGATGCAAGTATTAGTTTTTTGTTCTTACTCTTAGTTCTCAGTGGAACAATAGTAGTTCCATTTTTACTGCATCAAATATTTTCAAACCTACAAAAAACTCTTCCTTTACAAAGAGAGCTGTTGTACCAATTTCCTTTCCACCATTTCCTACCTGTGAAGGTCCGGGTTAGAATATTGATCTTCAGTAACCCATGCTTGTCATAAGTGGCGACTAACAGGATCGGGTGGTCAGTCTCGCTGACTTGGTTGCCACATGTCATCGGGCCCCAAATGCGCAGATCGATGCTCATGCTATTGATCACTGGATTGTCTGGTCCAGACTCAATTATTTACAGACCACAGCCATATAGCTGGAATATTGCTGAGTGCAGCGTAAAACTAAAATCATCTCACTCACTCACTCCACAATTTCCTTCCCAACCCCCAGGTAAATCACTTTAAGTTGAAAACTGTCATTGCTGTCTGACTTTACCTTCTCCAGCCACACTGCCCCTGCTACTGGTTTCATCCTCAGAGTGTGTGTAGATAGAGTCTGAATCTGTGTCAGACAGCTGGGACCACCCTAACACAGACAGGGGCTTAGAGTAGGCCGGGGACGGACACACAGTTGGCCGGTGGACATCTGTCCAACATCTTAGCTGGTGGGTACTCAGCTTCCTCACTGTCGGTGTGCAAGGTCCTGATAGTTCAGTCATATCAACCTCTCTGCATCTGGTTCTTTTGGCAGAAGTGAGCAGTGCCAGGTCAAACTCAGACTGTGCTGGTGAAGGTACAGGGGTGACCCGTGGAGTGGAGGGAGCACGTGGTGGGGAGTGCCTCGGTGAAGCAGATTCCTGTATCCCCACAACAGAACGTCGGGCCAGAAGTCTGACGTTCCGTCGGCTGCTGGTTGATGAAGACCCACAGCTGGATGGTGCCTCGGTCTTCCTTCTTAGAGGTGTATTCACAGGCTTCAGGAACTGTCCCTTGACTGACGCTGTCTGTGAAGGTGCAGCAACAGGAGCTGGAGTCTTGAAAACTGCAGACTGACAGGAATTAGGGGTAGGAATCATCATCCTATTCCTCTGTGGTGTAACTGAGCTAGCTGGAACATTTATATGGAGGCTTCTTACCCCTCGCCCAGGTTTCTCACTGTGCACACAAGCATTCTTAGAAATATCCATTGCTGCTCCTTTCTGTTTTGTCAAGGAACCATTATCTGTTACACAAGAACACATGACAACACTTTCATCAATCCACTTCTGTGAATGGTGTGGTGATTTTTCAACTAGAGTGTTTTCAGAGCTAGTATTCTGAGTAGAGCTAGCCCACTGACTGCAAGGGACAGTGTTACTACAATCCTTGCCACATCCTCCATCTCTGGCACTTACTTTCTTGGACACATATGCACAATCCTCACACTTTCTGTCTCTTGCATTGGTTTTACAGTTTACCATGTGGCAACACTGTCCAAAACAATCCTTGGGTTCATTTGACAAACCTGTGTACTTTTGTTTTTCAATGTGTACATGTCCATCTGATTTGTGTTCATCATCACACCTTTCAACCGCTGAGCAAACACAATTATTCCTATCTGCAATATGTTGTGAGTTACAGCTATTCTTATTCAAACTCTGTTCATATTTTCCATGCAAACTCCTGTTTTCATGTTCACCATTTGTCTCATACTGTGATGCCTGATGTTGAAAACTATTATAACCATGAACATCAGATGATGCTACGGATCTGCTTTGGGCACTTCTAAAACACATATTATCACTGCAGTGAGGGCTTGTCACCCTATCTTGACCCAGTCCATTGTCAGCAATCCCTGAGTCACTCCTGCAACAGTGATTGTAGTCAACCACAGACGTTGGTCGCCAGGTTGCAGAATGTTTGCCTTGACTCTTGTAGTCATAGGAATATTCTTTGACTTCATCTCTTCTTCTTAATAGGGCCTCAGGAATGAGGTGTCTGAGCCAATTCATCAAGTGAGGAGAACCTCTTGATGTATTCCTTTCAGAGTTAAAATCAAGTCTTGGCAGTGCTTTGTTAGGAGTGTCATTGTTCATGACATTAGACTGTGAGATATCAGTCCAGTTTATGTGAGGTGGTTCTGCAGTGTGTTGTCTGTCATACATCTGCTTGATAGGTTCAGTAGGACTGCATTTATTCCTTGCATCCAGTAAGTGACTGTAACCTGTCTGAGGATCTGGTAGATGGTCAGTTATCTGAAAAGCCATTACCAATGTTACAGGTCCCATTATCAATGTCATTACATTTATTCAGTTAACAACTGGTTTATTATTCATACTTTAACATAGTAATAATGAACACAGAAATATTCCACCTGTAGAGTGTCAAGTTTTAGCTGATAGAAGCAAATGTTAAAATATGGCAGCATTCACAGCAGAATCTTTAGTTGGTTGGAACACAGGAGCATGAAATGTTTGTGACAAAGTGACAGCCCTGATCTTTAATAAGATTTGAAACAGTATGTCATAATATACCTTACGTTTCAGCATCAAGTGATGAAATTCAAATCGTGCAGGAAGTTATGCAAAAAGCCGACATATGTATCCATTAATACACAACCTGGAACACACAGCACATTCGCTGGGATTAACAGCCAGGTCAGGGTTTGTCTTTTTATCCCCCACCAGATTAGATGCTTGAAATCTACTCACATGTTGGCCACTCGTAGAAGGTAATCTTGTACAGTTGTTGTTCAGGTTAGTGGTAGTGGTTTGGTTGGACTCCTCCTTATATGTTTCAAGTCTTGCTGAGAGTTCATCAATCTTCTCCAAAATCAGTTGACTGCTCTTCCTTTACAAGCATGGAATTACACTTCAGCACAAAGCATACACAAATTCTAACTGATTAGTACTAACTGTACTTGTAAACTGTGTAAATACTATCAAACAACTGAGCATCATAGAGATGTCCAAAATGTCCACATTCTGCTTCATCCTAGACAAAATACTAATATTTTACAGCTGCTTCACTCAATGCATCTGTAATTCAATGATTATCAATGCAACCTGGAGCATGTTGAGAGAATAACACAATACACTCAAACATGATTTTCTGTTTATAAAGAGATATATCTTTACTCTATGGACAATGCTCTTTTAAGGACTTGTATCATATGACTGTAATGACTTACATTTTGAAATGCAACAAAGAATGACATAAAGATCATACAATAGCTGTCTCAAGGAAGTGTTGAGTTTGCAGAATTTAGATTCATGACTTGTCACAATAAGTTGTGTGTTGGCTGATTCTGATACATAAACAGTAAGCTTTATACATCTGGGGATTCAAAATATTTGTCTTCCAGTTTGAAACTTCTTGTCAGCATCATTTTCAGTAAATGAAGTAGTATACTGACAATTAATATCAGACCTTTCCAGACAGAAGGAAATAATATTAGCATTAGATTCGAAAATGATGTTGGATCAATAGTCAAGACAGATTATGTTGACCTGATATTAACAAACCAACAGTACATCTAATTGACCGGATATTATTACTCTGGTATTGAATATGTCACACAAATATCAAATATTACCCTCTTGACCAAAGTCAAATCAGAATCATGAAATAGCTTGTACAAATTGCAGCACACTCCCTAAGGTTCACTGAAATAGATGTACTCTGTTTCCTATGCTGATGCTCACTCTGATCAGTGCACCTGCTCCTTGCAAGTCTACACAATACATCACCAAGCAGCCAATATAGATAAGGCCATGCCTATACTGATGCCCCATAAATGTACCTGTGAAAAATCTACTGCTTTGGGAAAACAAATCTATTCAGACAGGAGTCTTTACTTACTTCAAGGTTGGTTTCATTTCAGGCTGAGCCTTCTGTTTGTCACATTCTGAAATGAAATTCAACAAATCATTATAAAATACAGGCTATATGGCATTGCTCAAGAATAAGAACTAAAGGCAATAAGTCTCTCATAATTTCAATATTCAGAGAGCACTTAGAAAGTGTAAAGTATGTAATTCTGAGTGTCCTCAAAAACAAATATTTTTTGCTAACATGTCCAGTCTATCTTAAATTTACCAGAAAACAAAGTAATTGTTCCAAAAGAGAAGTTTGAATTACTGCTATCATCTACAACTCCAAATGTAATAAGTAACACAGCTATGTTTTTGTATTATACTTGTACAGAAAGATCTCATTGTTAGTTTAATATAAGGAATTCAAAATACAATAATCAAGATATATTTCATGCAATGTTCATCTGTTATATTGTTACATGCATGAAAACACTCTCATTTGTACATTGCCAAATGTCTGTACAGAAAGGTCTGTGGTCTATACATACTCTAACAAAGGATACTTGTAAGCCCAATTTTCTGCAATTTTAGGGGTCCATATGTAAATATAGCTAAACAACAACCTTAAGAACATGACACTGCTAGTTGAAATCAATAATCTGTACGGTATATGAACTCTGCAATGAAGGTTTTCCTTCATTACCATACTGCATACCTTACTACTGTCAAAGAGCTCCAGATAACCTGCACATTTGCTGGCACAAAAAAAACCATAACCAACTAACTTAATAGTATAACAACACTGTGCATAGAGCTCATTGTCACCTTTTCCGCCTGCTTAACTTAATGTCTTTCCACATCTTCGTTGACAGATAATGCAGGAATTACACACAAGAGTAAAGGCTAAAATTTACCAGTCCACCCCCTTTTTTGATTTTAGTTTTTGTAAGACATGTTTTTCAGCCATATTGACAATGATAAGTACATGTCCAACATTTGGCTCATGTGAGGTAATAACAATCTGGGATATAATGTGCATTTTTTAACAAATTTCTATTGGACATATTCACCATCAACACTCAAATTTAGCAGACCCAATAACATCTAACCAGTCAATATCCGGTATATACCGGAGAAGGGAAATACTGTGACCTCAGGGGAACTAATTAATGGGAACAGCACTGATCGCCAATTCAAAAGCTGAGCTGAAGGGTTGTTTGCCAAACATGTTTTGATTCACCATTGCATAAACCTTGTTCTTTTTTCCATTTCTGAACTGGATATATTTCATTTATATACTGATTAGTGTTAGAAAATCACTTGTTAACTGTAACACTTGTTAAGAATATCTAAAGACAGCTAAAGTCCCATTTTAGAGTGTCTAGACAAGTGAAGTCCAGAAGTGATAAGTTAAGTCATGATGCTTGTCAGAGTGTTTGGGTGTGTCTTGTCTTTCTCAGCCAAACCTTGCCACTGTTTACTGTATTTTCTCAGATATGAAACTAAGCTACCCTTGGAACAACATAACTGAATTGACAAATGACATGACAGAACAGTTTTTAAATGTCTAGACTCATGTATTTTCAGTGTTTTCATGTTCCATCATATACTCTTTCAGTAAAGCAAACTGCAGGTAGCAAAGGTACTGTAAATCCCCATGGTCCCTTACCCCCTTGTAATACAAACCAATAATAGTGATTTGAAACTATGATAGTTTGCTAAACAACTTTTATACTAAGTTGAATAAATTCTAAGATTAAAATGTTCAATTGGCAAGGTAAAATTATGTGGAATTTAATTGAATTTCACTTTATTCGATTTACATTTTTTGTTTAAAGTGAAATTCATCAATACGTTTTCACTGCAAACAGACTATAGTATGGTGATCTACTTTCAGTTGTTGGCGATCTATAGCCTGTTTATATATTGTATCGTCCTCTATAGTTAAAGTATTTTAGATTTAATTATCAGTTTTAAATAAATATATTTGTGATAGTCTAGTTGGTTTTACTGTCCTTTGTCAACAGATATTTTAATATAATTAACTTGTTTTCATCGCTATATGGCTGTAATATTGCCGATGCAATGTAAAATTTTAACTCGCTCACTCAGTAAAGCAAAAACATTCCCAGCTCTACACTTAGCCCAAGGTCGCTATACACAGATATACATTCATAACGAAGATACAACTTTATGGATAACAACTTCTTGTTTATAGCATAGAGTGATGTATAGATTTGGTGTAGAGTCTTGATAACACTGTAAGGATCTACACTAAAACTTTATGTAAATAAACAAGAAGTGTTTATCCATAAAGTTGTATCTTTGTTATTAGCTCACCAACTTCTAGATTACCGATCAAACAACTAGACACTAGTTCATTATTTTTCACTTGGAAACATAGATCTTGTTTGGCCTTACACCTTTTCATGTGAAACAAAGCTATCCAAATGATCAAATCTATTCGGTATAAGAATGTTTAGTGTTTACCAATAATATCCATATGTGAGTGAGAGGCTAACATTCATGATGTTAGAGGTATGTCACACATAGTAGAAATACACAGATAGTACTACATCTTTGATGAACATTCTTCAAAAAAAGGTAGGGGGGTCATGAAATATACATGTTAGTACCAAGTATTGGAACAAAGATAAGAGTTGACAACAATGGGCCCTAGTAAGTAGTTTCTTCTTCTTTTTTTTCTTTTTTTTATTCAGTCGAATGTTACAGAAAACACATTTCACGAGTTACAGTATACATTTTCCAGATTCAAACATTTTTTAAATCTATGGTGGAAGCCTGTATTCTGCTGTTTTCTTTTCTTTTTTTTTTTTATCTTGCGTTACATACACAACATATGTAATTTAATTTTTTTTAATAAAGATGGGAAAGAAAGGAGAGATAAGGAAAGATGAAAGAGTGCAGAGTGCGGCCTAGAAAAACTCACTATGTCAATTTGTTGGTTTAATCATTTTGAAAGAGACATAACCATTTTCTTTTGAAATCTGAGTCTTCACCGAAGATATATTTTTCCAAATGGTAGTGATGTTTTATAAAATAAAAAAAGTTGATCGAAATTTAATTCCGCTGTGGTATATCTTGGTTTATTGATATATTGCTTGATAATGCTAAAAATGTGGTTCACTAGTACACTTGCCTCAGGGTCCCCAAGTAAAAACTTACTGAAACTTGATATTTGCTAATAATTTGTACATGTATTGCACGTGATGCTTGCCTTTCATCGTAGCATGTGCATATCTAAAATCAATGTATGGTGCACTCAAAGGGCAAAAGAATCACAGAAACAAACATGATTATGATATGAAGATATCAATATTGTGCTATCACAGGTGCTATCAATATTGAGGCGAGTGCCAGTCTTCAAATTGTACCAGTTTGCAAACTGAGAGATTAGATGTTTAGTTTTCTGGCCGAAGTATGTATGTCTTCAAACAAACAATAAAATACATCCACCACAAGCCACATCCATAAGCAGCATCACATAGTGTGTCATGCATAGTGTTGACACTTTCAAGCAAGGTTAAATATTCTCATTCATTTCACAAGCAGTTGCAATGCGTTTTCAGTTTGTTCATTTTCATCATAAAGTATGATGAAGAGCTATTATCTTATTGAATTTGAGAAACTATAAGTCATTTCCAAGTATCCTGGTTTTTCAACCTTATAGTACTATAATTATCAATAATCCTCAGGTTACCAGATTTCAAACAGGATGGGTATGCACTTCTTATATCAAAAGAAATGTAAATTTGCCTAAACAGGGCAAACTCATAAAATATGCTTCTTTTTCACTTTGATTCAACGAACAAGTGATTGACTGAATGTACCTGAATCCTGTATCATCTGTAGGACATATTTGAGGGCCTTGACAAGTTCCTCATCCTGGGCCTGTGTGAGGAGGCACACCAGCTGTTGATAATCCTCTGATGACACACCAGCCAGCGCACCTGGAGGAATTCAGAGTACATCATCAAAACTGATGTTCTGACAATATGTTTCATGACAGGATCTAATCCATGTAAGATCAAACCATCATTGACCTAGTATTACAAAGGTATTGAGTCTGATTATTTAAACACCCCTCACAGTGGGCAGATTTCACAGATTATTTCCAGGAATTGATCTCTTGGATGATGATGCTTTTCACTCCATCACTTCAAGTGCACATAAGATATCATTATTTATCACATAATGGGTAGATTTTTGGCAGGATAAAGCCAACAGATGAATAGGTATGTTCATATGTGAAAATATATACCAATATAAATGGTCAAGTAATAAATACTTCCAAACATGGTGTTGCCTTTGTCAATTGAAAATACGGCATATGGAAAAGCTACTGAGATACTTGTTTCAGTAATCATTATAAAAACAATGGACCAAGTTACCGAGGATCAGGAACAATTTGTGAAACCTTTTACTGAGGACACAAGTCAAATTGCATCAGTTTCCTTATCTGCACTTGTAGACCTCTGTGACTTGTGGAATTTCCCCAGTTTAACGATGGTAGATTTAGCCGTCACATAGCTTGTCTGACTCTGAACTTGTTAGTGTTATGACAGGGCAGGCAGACCCTAAACAATGTTATGTCTTCTGCACGTGGGTTAGAGTAGCTTCCCTTCTATAAAAGGGCAGTTACCCTACTCAAAGGGCAAATGGACATCAGTGTTAGTGGTCTGACTTCAGACGGCAGAGAGTCAAATACAAAAATTGTCTTGCAGTAGCCACGAGGGGTCACCCTTGTTCTCCAGAAGCACATATGACCGCATCACCTAAGGGAGTGTTCTAACAGCACATGAAAGAGTGTCATATACCTGAATTGTCTTGCAGAACATGAGAGAGTGTCACATACCTGAATTGTCTTGCAGAACATGAGAGAGTGTCACCACCACCTGCAACTGTTCTTGCTGACTCAGGAGTCCTGGTGTGAGGAGGGAGAAGAGAGGACCAAACCCACACACTTCCCGTAGCCTGTTGATGTTAACCTCTGTCACAAGCAAGGGTAATCTCTACTTATGGACAAATACATAGTAACAGAAGTACCTATGCTACACACATTCCTCATTAACAATATACAGTCCCAAATCCTATTTTCAGTACTCCTTCATAAAGAAGAGATAAATGAAACCCATTCCAGTGAGGATGCTCTTGACTTCTCATTATATGTAGCCTTCCTTTCCAACCAAAGTTATGATCCAATATAGCCGAAATAACTAACCTTCAGGGCGTTCTACTCGCAGCATCATATTAGATGTCTTATTAAAGAATGAAAAGCTAAAAAATTGGGCAGACTGTCACATTCACCACACTAAAAATAACACCATTACAATAAACTGTGGTTTTAATAAAATCAAAGTGACTACTTAACATAGTTAATTAACTGTAGCCTTGTTTTAAACATTTTAACTAAAATATAAAGCATGTGACCAGGACAATAAACTCTTTGTAACGTCCGTCAGTTTGTTATAAACAGTTTACTGAATTTTAAAGGAACTGTTTTAGTACTCTTACTTAACACAATATAAAATATTTTACACAATAACATGTCACATTCACTAAGAAAGGAAGAAATAGAGAGTATATCATACTGCCAACTGTAAACATTGATGAAGAGGTGAAAATATGTGCTGTCAATAAGAACTATTGTCGGGCGGGGGTAGGTACTTCCAAAACAATCTATAATCTCACTGAATATAATTGTTGCAGCTAATTGAAAATATAAGCTTTCCGATTTCCCTCAAGAAAATATCAAATTGCATTATTTCTGTCCAAACTTTACCATTATCCATGAGACAGGAATCTAGGGCACCGACCACCTGCACCGCTAACATTAGGTTGTCCTCCTCCCCACTCCTGTTGGTTAAGTTACACAACAGGGACCCAAGTGTGTCCAGGCCCCCACACTTCTTCACCCGGTCCTGGTTAAAAACTGTAATGCAAAAACACCCACATATATAACTACTACAAACTAACAAAAACAGATTTTTAAGAGTGTATATGCACCTAAAGCAAACAAAATGTTTTGAGTGAGTGATGTTAATGTACATAAGTTTCTCTATATCTCTACATTCCTTTCTGTTCTATTGTTTTTTAAAGTTTTACATGGACTGATAAAAACACCCCATATTTTTCATAGTACCAATATGTTACCTTATCCAAACCTACCAATTACCAAGCACACTCTTCATATCTGGTAAAACCTCCACCAACTGCAACAACGTCCCTGACCCTCCTCCTCATTGACTCTTTCAGACATTGCACTCCATTCTTGATGGAGGGTTTGTTCCAGTACTTTAAGATTTTGTACTGGAGGATCTCTCTGACATATTCTGTGACTAATGATATCCCAAACATGCTCTATGGGATTGAGACCTTGAGTCTGCCTTGCTACCACCTCATGATGTAAGAAATCACCTAGCCAGATGTGGCCTAGCATTGTTGTCCATGAAGGCCGGCCTTGTGTTCAGAGGATGATCAACAAATGTGGTGCAACAACCCTGTCCAGGATGTCAGTGATGTACCGTTGTACATTCATATTTACATGTCAGATTGTCACAAGGTCAAGTTTAGTCATATGAGAGACAACCCACACTATCAAAAAAACCTATAAATTACTTGCTCCAAGATATTCCACTGTGCAAATGCAGTGTTTCTTCCGTGCCAAACACAAACACAGCCATCATTTGTAAGGTAATGAGGCCCCATATTTACTTAGCAACACAAATCGATCAGTTTACTGAAACTTGATATTTGCTAATAATTTGTACATGTATTGCATGTGATGCTTGCCTTTCATCGTAGCATATGCATATATAAAATCAATGTATGGTGCACTCAAAGGGCCAAAAGAATCACAGAAACAAACATGATTATGATATGAACATATATGGGGGTTACAAATCGAAGATATTGCAATATTTTTTTCTATGTGTATATAATTGTAAATAGACATTCATCTGTGGAGAAGGCATTCTAAGTTGTGATAAAAGTTGAGAATAACAAAATAATTTCTCACTTCTGCAAAATGTTGATCAAATGCTGAAAATGCCATTATGTCATTTCATACATCAGTTAACGTCCTTCAGATATTCTATATTCTTAATATCATCATTCACAGATTTTTAATAAATTTGAGTATCCAATAGATCCCTATTCAAAGTTGTATTGACTTCTTAAATTCAAACATAATTCAGCATGTGAAATTTAGCAATGTCTTTATGATAGAGTCGCTTTATGTTTGTGTTTTGATGTTAAGTGTCAAGTAAGCATTAGACTTTGCATCCCAGCAATTCCTACCATTGTTGGCCACCATGACTCCCACCAAGGACAGCACAGGACAGAGGGTCTGGGGCTCGGACACTCTCATCAAAAGACTGAAGATGTGTGGCAGCAGTGTGGAGCACAAGCGCTGGTTTTCCTCTGTGGGTAGAGGACAAAGCAATTCATCAATAAAATAACATAACTTATATAGCATTAAAAGATGGTTTAATTACCAAGGAATATATAGCAAATTCAATGCATAACTTGACAAGACACATCCATGAAAAACATTATGTCACATATACTTGCATGACCATGACATTACAGGTGTAGTGGTTAGAGCGTCCGCCCGGAGAGCGGAAGGTCGTGGGTTCGATCCCCGACCGCGTCATACCAAAAGACGTTAAAATATGGTACTTGTTGGTCCCTGCCTTGCACTCGGCATTAATGGGTACAACAAGGACTGGTCGGCTCGGAGTCAGTATAATGTGTCTGAGTGGGGTATTCATGCTTCACTGCTGGCATGGTATCTCAGTGGGCTAGCACTATAAAACCAGCTTCAGTCTGGGCTAGTACAAGCAGCCGCATATACACGCATGCACGTCGTCATATGAGCGAAATATTCTCAAGCACGACGTTAAACCCAATTTCACCTCACCTCACCTCACCTCACCTCACCATGACATTACATGATCCTTGGTCATAAAGCCATCATGCCTTTCCCCAAAAATATCTTATAAAAAAGACTAGCCATAGTTAATCATAAGGAAGAAGTAGTAACATAGTACTAAAGTGATTTTTAGTTACATAAATTAGTGAAAGTGAAGGAAAATATCAAACTAACAAGACACTATCAGTTCAGTGATCCAAGAATTATACATGTACCCAGATACTTTTTCATATCTGACACTTCAAATGACACTAAATTTTATTCCTGAATGGTTGTCCTGTGTTTTTTCAAGCAAGAAGATTGCTCATTCTAGCACGACATTGTGTGATACTCGATTCTGATTGGCTGAGAGCTCATGAGTATAAAACAAACTCGTTGACCCTATTGTTTGTAAACAAACATGTCGGACATCGGCAATTTCTATCTCGGCAGCATCTTTGGTGTTTTTTATGTAAAAAGCGAATGGTTTGAAGAAGAATTCCTTGACCCTAACAGGGGTGGAAATAACCCATTGCCTGACGCCAGAGTCCAGCGTTTTTTTCTGTCGGGCAAGCAAATTTGTATATCACACTGTATCGGTGTCCAGTTGACTTACCAAAGTTAATTATGTTGTTTATTTAAAGAATCAACAAGAAAACGGCCGGTATAGTGGAAAAATCATCAGGCAAAGAGATTTTTACATGTGCCACTGTACTGGAGTACATTAGCAATTTTAAAGTTATTTCCACCCCTGCCCTAATCCCAGTGAAGAAACTACGAGGCTGGAAAATCCGTCGGCAGCGCAAAAGCGGCAGTATATTCAAACCGGTCCAGATCTACATGTGTTGACGTCAACAACACATGTCGGCCCACACGTCCTAACCTGACCGTAATGCCCAGTCCTTCCACTTCCACTGTCCATGTATCCCACATAAAACGTGGCATGTCAGGTCTTTTCCAAATTGGGAATAGTAGGGTGGTTATCAACAATTATTTCCGTGAATAAAGTTAGCGGCGACTTAGCTTAGCGAGTTCACGGCTTGAATTGTGGCGAGTGGATTGTCATACAGTAGGGGAGATCAATAATTCGCTTGAGAAAAATCAAATAATTGTACTTGTTCACAGTATAAACTTTATTTTTTTTATTTAGGTATGCTACTTGTTACAAATACAAGCATACTGGTTCCTGAAATAAAGCATTTATGTTGTTGATAATGTTTTATTTTGTTCATTACACAACCTGTCCCTCCATGGGATGATTCTAAGCGGTTTCCAGGAAAAGGCCCCTCGCACTTTGTGTTCTTGCGAGCCAAACAGTTCAGTTTTAAAACGTTTATCAGTTGTGCTAGAATGAAGATAAAGCTACTCTGTTTTCAATTTTGCGGTCCTTTATGGTTGATTTCAGGACCACTAAATGTTTAACTTAGACCTCACGCTAACACGTTCGGTTTTTAAATTACACTTAGCGGTCTGAGGTGAGGTGAGGTGAAATCGGGTTTAACGTCGTGCTTGAGAATATTTCGCTCATATGACAACGTGCATGCGTGTGTATGTGTATGTGCGGCTGCTTGTACTAGCCCAGACTGAAGCTGGTTTTATAGTGCTAGCCCACTGAGATACCATGCCAGCAGTGAAGCATGAATACCCCACTCAGACACATTATACTGACTCCGAGCCGACCAGTCCTTGTTGTACCCATTAATGTCGAGTGCAAGGCAGGGACCAACAAGTACCATATTTTAACGTCTTTTGGTATGACGCGGTCGGGGATCGAACCCGCGACCTTCCGCTCTCCGGGCGGACGCTCTAACCACTCCACCATGGAGGCGGTCCTTAGTGGTCTGAAATCAACGATAAAGGACCGCAAAATTGAAAACAGAGTAGCTTTATCTTCTAATTCATGATGAAATAATTGGATTCAGGGTTGCACATTAATCACATTGAAGGAAACTCACCATTCTGTGGGTTGTTGACGCAGACACTGAGGGCACTGGTGACAAGACCAAACTGCCTGGCCTCGCTGATGACATTGTTGCCACTGCTCACCAACTTCCTGAAACATCACAGAAAATATCAGCATGCTCAAGTGACTTTGACCATGCATTTCATCATGGCATGATCACGACTCTTAAGCTTTCAGCTGATTCTAGTGACTTGAGATGAAAGCTTTCTTAAATTTGACATGTTCCAGTTTTCTTCTACAACCGAATCAGAGCACGACATAAGGAACTTGTATAGTGCATGATGACATAAAAAAAGCAAGCTGCATCAAACAAACTCTGGCTGTACATTACTGAAAAATAACACATTACTGTAAAACAAAATTTGAATATGTGTGCATAGTCTTTATTAACCACAGTTTGATTATGTGAAGCCTAAGAAAGCATGATAAATGACACATAACAAATGGATTAGTGACATGATAATGAAGTTCAGAGGTATTGATTCAGTGTGGACAAGTAAGGGTTCATTAGACACCAATTTGAAACTTTTGGACATGTACTTACTACAGTACATGTAGACATACATTATATTAAGTGAAATTTTTAAACAATAGTTTTTACTTTTGCACGTTTCATAAAGCTAAATTGGGCTCTACAGACACATTCCAATACATGTCTGAAATTGATAAAGCACTTCCGTTTTAATTGCTTCTCGATCTTGCTGTCTATGACAACATTGTTTTACTTCTTTCAGTAGTTATTTGAAACACAAGAAATAGAAATATTTGCCTTGAATAGCAAGCTTTCATCATTTCATGGCTAAATCTTTCAATGTATATTCATAATCATTCACATATTGTTTTTGATGTGACATAAAATACAGTATCATGTGTATTGCAACTATCCTCTAAAAGGACTTTAAGAAATCCTTGCATTGCTTGGACAGTTCTGTTTCCTTATCAATAGATTCATGCCATGCTCACATGTATGTTCCTGCCCACCTTGACCTTTGACAGAAAAGATCTATACCTTTCTAAATGGAAATATGGTGTACATGAGTACATTGCATATTCTCTGAGGGTTATGTTTATTCATGTGTGGTAATTTGTGTGATTTATCTGTCCTGTTTCACCATTTGTTAAAACTTGTCAAGACTGATTACTTATTATTTCTAGTCCTAAGCCATACATCTCTGATGACAACTGGCTGAAACTGACAACAGAGAGAATCATCTTACACTGCTACTGCGAAACTCCAAGGAGCAAGTTCACAAAACATACTTAAAATGGGTCCCAGTATGGGACATTTGTTGCTGCCAGCCTCACACCTGGTGTAAAGCATAAGAAGTACTGATGTTGGAGAACCCATTTACTCTATTGAACTGAGGGTTAATAGTGTTTTCCAAAAAACACTAGTTAGACTACAGTGTGTGCTATAGCTGCTGTACCTGAACATTCCCATGAGGTCTGCCAGGCAACCAGAATCCCTCGCTTCATTCTGGGATTGACCTGCAACATAGGTTCTCCTGTCAGCATCCAAAGTACAACTGTGGGTACAGACATTCACCATTACTGTGTCAGGCTCCATTGTGTATTGAAAAGTTTCTTAAACAGGCGTTCAGTATATTTTACTTCCTTGTCTCCAGATTAGAACCAATCAACAGAACATTTTTAATGTTCACACGGTTTTACATCTTATTTGCAGATAAACCCAACTCTTTGTAATTTGCATCTGTTCATGTGCTGGCCCAAGATTTGAAGTCATTACAAGCAAGACAGGAATTACACACTTTATTAACTGAGGAAGACTTAAGGTGTATGACATCCCTGATTTGGGTTAGTAAATAAACACATATTAAAAGATACTGGCGACCTTAAAAGGCTACAAAGGCAACTAGATAAGATGTGTTACGCTTTTGGAATTTTTTAAGGAAAATGTCCATTAAATGATAGTTGATATCTCATACTGATTAAAAAATATGACATACTATTGTTAGCAACAAGACACAGCAGTAGGAAGACAGCAGCTTGTCGGAGTTTGTCTGTGGATATTACACTGTGTAGACTGCCATGGATGACACGAAACACACCATGCTGTGTCAGAAGTGTCTGGGAAAACACTGAAACAGAAGCAGAGAATTCGTAGTAAAGGACAGTATGTGGGGTTCTGATCTGTGGCAATAGTGACAGAAGAGTACAAGGCCAAACCAGGAGCTACCACCATAACAGGGATCTGAAAATACATGACAAGTCTGTGTCATGCCATTAAAAGTCAGGAATGCTAAACAAAATCAGGTTTCATAAAGGTCTTTACAAAATATAAAATTATTATGACAATGAATGCTTTGCCAAATCAAAAATGTAATTCCCTGACTGTGTGATGAGTACTGTCTCACAGGTGAGGTTCGTTTTTGGCATGGGTGGACTTAAAAGCAAAACACCAAGACAAGATCCTCTCATTACTAAATTTCACTTAGCAATGAATTCAGATATGATACTTCTGTCAATATAGTAATCTGCACAACACCAAAGATGGATTTCAACATCTACCCTTTAAAGCCGACTCAATGCAGCCAGCCTGAAAGCCAGGCACCTTGTTAAGGCTAACAACTTACCAGAGTTGGAAGTGATTGGAATTGGCTAGGTAACACCAGTGACAGGCTGTGCTTCAATGGCATTATACCATGTTTACAGACAATCAGAAAAATTTGCTTCCAATTTACAGATGGCAGAAACTACTAGCAATGTAGCAGCCAGCAGTATAACTGGGTAACAAGTCATGACCATGATTGGTATGGGAATAGCAACGTCATTACCTGGAGTCGGACAGTACCACATGACTGGCAAACTAATTTTGGTTATTGTGAACAGACATGTGACTGGACAGTGATATGGTGACTTAAATTTGCATCCTGTCATTAGGGGTGAAACGGTACGCTCTTACCACGGCACAGTACGTATTGCGGTACAAGGCTTTCGGTTCGGTCCGTTTCGGTTCAGTATACGAGAACTTACTTCTGTGAAAATACCGGCCGTCTAGCAAAGAAATGCATATTTGCCAAAAAGATTTGATTTCTAGACATTTTAGAAAAGGCTTTAAAAGGTTAATGTGCAGAAACCGAAAATACCGATTTTTTTTTATTGCATTACGGTATACCGAACCGAAGGCAAAATACAGCGGTTCTACTAATACCACTGTATACTGTTTCACCCCTACCTGTCATTGTTCCAGTCAGTAGAATTATGGGAAGAAATTGTGAAATGCAAGATAACAATGTCAGGACCACACTGCAATCAAGTCACAAACCTTGCACTGTCATAACTTGTATGTATGTCATTGTATGCATGACCATGTTGTAAACTGGCTGATTCAAAATAAGCTGAGAGAATATGGAACTTTAAAAAATCAACAGCTAAACTAACTGGCAAAGGAAACGATACCAAGTCGAAATCACTGATACTACAAAATGACAAACCACCATTGTGAAAAAGGAAAATGAAGTTTAGTTACAGGTGTATGGGCAATATGCTCATACACATTGCCCATACAACTGTTATTAAAATTCACTTTCCCTTTTCACAATGTTGGTTTGTCATTTTGTAATATCAGTGATTTCGACTTGGTATCGTTTCTTTTGCCCGTTAGTTTATTATTGAGTGAGTCACTGAACTGAAAATGATATTTCACTTCGACTACAACATGTAGGCTTAATGTGGAAGGAAAGCCCAAAGTGATGTAGATCTTAAACCTTTATCACTCTGGCAAAACCCACAAGCGAAATTTACAATCACAGGGTAAATTAGTGAGTACCATAAATGGATTCTGGTACAAATGTAATATAACATTCTGTAAATTGCAGTGCATCTGTGCCCCCTGGTGAAATAGAAATTTGTCATTATTGCTTAATACTAAAGTCATCATACCATTTTTTTCTGTGGCAGAAGCCAGACAGAACAGAGCAGCTATCTTGATGTTTGGGAAGTCAGTTCTCTGTAGGAGGCTGTATAGATAGAGCAGACCTCCACTTTCTCGAACATAGTCCCTAGCTTCATCTGAAAAATAGATAAGTTTGATGAAATGAGTCATCGGTACCAAGTACCATAGCATTTTCAGATCACAAAATATATGAATCTGAAAATGCATTTCATTACATAATGTAACAAGAGGCACTAAAAATATACTGGTTCCAACAAGATGAATCTCAAGCCTGCTGAAATTCGCATTACTATAGGTTTTATATTTTCTTTTTATTTACATAACATATCACTACTCTCACACAAAGTAGAGGGTAAACTTGATTTGCAACATGAAATCATGGTTGTTATGGACAGAATCCACAGCATGTTTTCAATGTCTTGTCTAGAGTGTTCAGCAACAGATGATTTGTTCGTATGTTAATGTCAATATTCAGGTAACATTAATTCCATGAAAAACATAATGTTCAACATAAAATGAAATCGGACTGTTATTCAGTTTATCTACCTGATGAAAAGAGACTTGACAAGGTCATAAGTGACTGATGAAGAGCGGTTGGGCTTTTTAGCTGACATTTCACACACTCCAGAACCACATCAATGTCGGATCTTATTTCTGAAATTTAGAAGACATGAGGTTAGAGAAGTCAGGTTTTTAACATCTATTAAAATCGGAAGATGTCCATGTATGGGATTATACAGGTGTTTGATAGCTTGTTTCAATACTTGTACTTGATAGTGGCATGGATTGAAATTAAGCAAGAAAAGATCAAAATTCTTCCAGTCCTCAGGATACCTTCAATTAGGGAAACAGTGTCATACTAGAGGACATGTGCTAATTGCTAAGCCCATGTGGTCCAGCATTGTCAAGTGATCAGTACATTTATTACAAATAACTGAGAGGAAAGCATTCCTTCTGTGGTGCAGTATTTCTGTCAACACTGAAACCTAACTTAAATGAGGCTTCAGTGTGTGACCTTACCTGCCATGTCTGTACAATTACGTCAAAAAGTCCATCTGTTTGCTGTGGAATTTATCCCTGTGAACATAAAACAGGTGTAAACTATTACCTGCCTCAAAGTGGTTGGTTCTCAGTCAACATGACAGCATGGATATTAATAGTGTGAGAATACATTTATGCATTTTCACATATGAACAACAATTTTCCTAAAGCTGTACTGACCAAAATATTGCATTTACACAAACTTACAGGGATGAATTTGTAAGATGTCTATAGTCAATCAACAAGCAAAATATACAACATGGTTTTAGATGGTTTCATTTTCTAATCATCATCAAAATTGTACAGTGTTTTTTTTCATTAGGTCTTGATAAACAAAAATGTCTTTACCAAATGCACATTCAATGTTCTGTTACTTTTGAGGAAAGATATATATCTCATGCACTGTTTCATTGCACAAATGTGCCATGTGTTGGGGCATAGGTCTGAGATGTTGACAAGAAGGTGGCTCCACATACCAGTAAACATTAATCATGGCCAGAAGTTACAAGATTTTCCAACTGGAAAGTGGCAAAGATTAAAAGTCCCCATACATTGAAAGCCCCTCCACTGACAAGTATTGGCATTGGCAGAATGATTGCAGTGTGTGTCAAAATTTGCTCTGATGTTTTGAAGTGACCAAGTAAATTTTCTGAGGGAGAAGTGATATTCTGTAGCACAGGTCATGTAGGCACTGTTACATATGACTTAAAATTTCAAGAAAGATAATCATTGGGATTCATCCCTTCTTTGATTGGTCTTCCTGGACAAGAGTAGTATCATCTTGCTTCAGAAATGAACATATTTAACAAGAAAATGGTTCCTAAATTAACTCATCAAATATAACCAGAGACTCTTTTCATTTTCAGAAGAATTTGTGGCAATCTAGACTTGCCACATATTAAAAACTTGCTGGTATTGGGTATATTTGTTTTTTTAGGATCTGCATGACGGATTGCATCTTGCACTCAAGTTGACGTCACAAATTATTTGTTTTGCTAGCAATTAAAAGATCATAACTGTAAACACAATACTACTTGAATACCTGTCTTGTAATTAAAATTGAAGATTCAGATTCCAGTGTTCCGAAGCATTATATGCAACCAAAAGCAGTAGATTACATCCAAACTATCTTTGCTCTGCTCACCTAAAGTCATTAGCAATAAAACCATGGCCAAAACCAGTATATTCAGAAAGGAAAGTTATTTATCTACTTTGCTGTGCTGAGCACTATTGTTTTACTGTAATGTCATGACTGGAAAATAATTCACACAAAATTAAAAACACACAGCACCATCAAAATCCTAGCCTATTAAATACCATGGAAGAAGCCCCCTAAAAGTTACATTCTGTGCCCAAAATATTTGCATCTACTCGTAATAATGTTTCCCTTGAAATCATTTCTGGAAGATTTTAATGTTAAGTTAAAAAAATAAAGCTTACTAGACCAATCCAAACGTCACAAAACTCTTGCGCTTCCGACTTGTACATGGCTCAAAAGGGATAATCTCAAGCCTCCGTGATCTCTTCACTACCATAGCACTTTCAAAATCCTTTTTCATTATGTTGATACTGACTGAAAAAAGAAAAGAAAAGAAGCTGCATACAAACAATAACTGTTTTGCATTGCAATAGTCCCTGTTCTGAGTGGCTTGCCAGGGGGTGGGGAAATACACGGGGTGCTGTCCATTTTGTCATTGTAAAAGCAAACTTAAAAGGATAATGTCTGTTGACAATATACTGACGCCTACTAATAGTACTATACACAATGCCATTGTTTTTCCATTAGACGTTTGTTGAAAACCAAACGTTGAATACATTTTTAAAACCGGGAAGGGCCGGTCCAAATGAAGGATATTTTTCAGAATCATAATGTTGTAATACTTTTCGCAAAACTTAAGAACTTATTCTCTTGTGCTATCTCATACAAATCAATAAATCAAACATATTCATCAAATGGTTGCAGACCAAAACGCTTCTTGCAACAATAATAACACTACTGTTAAGTTCACTTGAAATTAAAGCATACTTGTGTAGATCTGAAAAGCCGTCTCCTGTCTTTTTCCTTACTTGTTTGTCCTTGAAGGTAATTACACTATAGGAAAAACCTGGGCAGCATAAGCCGGTTAACAATGTAGTTAATGTTCATTAGTCGGTTTGTCATCTGGCATCGTGTGAACAAAATTGGCACCACTTGAACTTTACCCTCAGTGCTCGTCAGACGACTTCCGGTTTCACAGTTCGGCAAATAGGCAAAACAATCGGAACATCCAAACATGTGTCTGTATATCCCTGAACGTCGAAGTTGAAAAGGCGTGTAATATTAATATACATGTATGTTGAATTGTATTACAAAATGAACCACGAACAAGCATTGTTATTTTTATAAAAGCTGTATCCACCCGTGTTGTATCTTTGCAGTGTATCAAAGAGTCTGTCATCCAGTCGGAACTCAATTTTCACTACTCGTTATAAAACGTATCTTTCTCTCAAATGGCGTGAAGCCCATTTCCGGTGTTCCTTGCCGTGATGTTGCTGGAATATTGCTAAAAGCGACGTAAAACCATATTCACTCACTCAAGTGGGCTCTCTGTAATATATCCTTGCCAAGAGACAAAACATAAAATTAATGTTTCTGATGCTGCGACAACAGAATGGAAACAGATGCTGCAAAACTAGGACATACCTTTTAGCGAATGAAATATTTACTGCAGAGTATATATCTCCTGGTCGGTTTTGTGTAGTTGGTCCATAAAGTGACTAAAATATACTTGTATTATTCACTACCGGTGCCATCAAGGCTGCACACAGTAAAGGCATAGACAAGTGCACCTACTGTGGCAGACTCAGAACTATTTATTTTCTTTTTAATTGGAGTATATCCACGATCATAGGCTAGTAGTTCACAATTAAGATCAATCACTATAGACTGTCAGAGCCTCCGACAACTGGTTCGTCAATCAAGTATATCAGTTTGTTCTTCCACTGATGATATTTCCCGGTAATTCGTGGAATGAATCTTGGGTTGTATGTCGGGTTGTATTAGGAAACGTTTCTGTTGATAGCAATTAACATGTTTTTGTCTGAAATGATTATGTTATGCATGTGTATTGTGTATGTATGCATGTATATGCCCTTGTATTATTGAAATTATGATCTACCCTTTAAGACAGGAGAGGTAAGGTGAAACGGGATTAATCAACTTCTATAACCAACATGTGTATACGTTTGCTTGAAGCCTGAGTCCACAGTTTAACCATGCCGCAATGACTTTACCGTGAATACCCGACTGAGACACACAGGCCCACAGGCCCTCGTGTCTTTGCGAGGATTAAAGATTTAAAAATATATTTTTTAAAAACTGAGATGACCCCCGACTCGAAATGCTTCACAGTACAATAAATCATGATCATGTCATGATGCATTGTACTGCGAAATTAGTGTGAAGTATTTTTAGGCGGGGGTCATCTAAAAAAATATTCTTTAATATAAAATATTCTTTCTTTATTCGCAAAGACACGAGGGCCTGTGCTGAGACACACTAAATTAAACTGACTTCGACTCTTTGTTTCATGCCCTAATGTCGAGAGTTGAGCAGAGTAACAAGTGTCATCTTTTGGGGTTATATTGTATGACACGGACGGGTTCGAACCACTTATTTTCCGTATGCAGACAGACGTGTCATCCAATAGACCAAAGAGGCGGTCCTTCCTCAACCGTTATACGGTCGTGGTACAGATGTTTATGTAAGGCTAATGTAGTCAGATCTCCACCAAGCATGAACGCAGAGTTCAGGGCGAATAAAGTATAATATTTTTTTTGCAAGGGAAATGTTAAGTCATTTACATTTATTGTAACTCTCTTTCCTCATATAGATAAAATTATGATTATCAAAGAAAAGAAAAACTACCAAGGAGAAAGGTAGTAATTTGAGAAATAGTGACAATCGTTACTGAGATCAACGCGAGAAGCATTACAATGTGTGCGTGCCTGAAACAGACTGACTTATAGTGGAGATTTTATTAGCGCTTCATGTGAAACCAACATACGCACTCAGACAATTCTTGAATATTTCTTTTATAATTCTACATTGTAGCTTCAAAAGATCTTTAGAATTGGTCACCAGCCACCAATGATTGTCGTAAGTGGCAACTAACGAGGTCGGGAAGTCGAGATCGCTGACTTGGTCGTGATGTCGTCGTATCCAGATGTCGAAGACCAATGCCCATTATGCTGATCACTGGGTTATTCATAGGCGTTTATTAAATGACCACTGAAACTCTCGTGAAATCGGGTGAAAATTAACTGTACACCCCACTTTCTCAAAAAGCTGTATCCGCTCCTGTTATTTACAGACCGCCGCCATAGCCGGTATAGTGCTGAGTGCGGCGTTTGACAACAAACAAGGTAATTATTTTAAAAAAATACCACTCGACTGTGGACAATTCTCGTGTAACAGAAAATAATAACTCATACAGCTAAATATTGTTCTGTGGATGCTCTTAAACATGTCATGTATGTAAATTAGAACCTGTTGGGTATCGCCTTTCAGATGAAAACATTGATTGAAACTTGTTTTGTCTCCCACAAAAATCGCAGAATAAAAGACAAAATGTTTGAGAATAAAGCACTAACGCCCTGTCGAAAGGTAATCTTTCTACTTAGTTAATCTTTAAATATGCCAGGTTAAAATCTTGTATAACTGACACGTTTCGTTGACTGTGTGCAACTCCAGTTTAAATTGGTAGCCGTGTGTTCATTACAATAAGTGGTAGGATGATACTACTGACGTCATTGGCCTTGTTCGGCTGCTCATGCATGTGCAGTACGTGCTATACTGATCCGACATTGTCGGCGTGTTGTGTCATCGCAGTTGACATTCCACCAACAGGTGGACTGAGGTAGGAAATCGTTGATCAAACGTAACAAGAATGCCAATCAAACATTTAAGACTGCAATGGTTTGGATTGTTTTATTACATGACAGAAACACATGAAAATAATTTACAATAACACCCACAATATACAGACAAGAAACACCCAGAGATCTGTTTCTTCATACAAGGACAATGGATTTCCGATCAAAATATAATTCGCGCACCTGTTTTACTTATTTGCGGAAATGTCTTATGCCAACAGCGTTGGTAATCGAAATAAAGTAAATGATTGTATTTTCATAATTTGAGGGGAAAAAAATGTGAAAGAAACATATCTCTTGAAGTAACATTTAATTTCTAGAAAAATACTTCTTGTTTGAAGGTGCTGATGAAAATTAAGTAAGTGAATTATCTTGGAAAACTCGGAGGGTCAGTAGAGATTTCATATAATCATAATTCTGTTCACCAATTAAGATTTGGCAGCAGGAGGTGAAACAGGTAAAACCCATCTTATTAGATTCACATGAGTTCAGCAGTGACATGTTTCATCACACACAGCTAACTCCCTTCTCCAATTGAATCATGGCTCCATCTTGAACCCTGTCTGAAGCAATGATCAGACAAATCAGCCCACATTCGCTAAGGATGATATCAAACAAAATAAATTATGTCTTTGGGAATGTCAGTTCCATGTTTCTGGTGTCATTCAGACCAAGGTCAGCAGTACATTTCATTCAAGTTCATAGGTGGATTGAGGATCAGACACATGAGGAGTGCTGGTTACACTCAAGTGATGAAGTCTGAGAAAACATGGCACACACACTATCCCCTCTTGATGTGTCAGTGAGGTTGCAGCGACACCAAGACTCCTGGTTGTCATGGTTATACAAAATGATCATTTTCTTTTGAAAATAGATGTTGAAACAAGGGGCTTCTGATGGCGCTTCCAACATTCCTATTTCAGCCAATCAGTAACATTAGGTTGATCAAGTTGTCTTCTTTCTTTTACATGTATTTTTTTTTCAAATGATAATTTGTAAAGGTGCTTTCAAATGGCACTTACGTTGCCACATAATCGTTGAATGCTCAGATTCTGTTCAGAGAATACAACAAATCTAAACTGATGGCACAAGACGTTTACAGGGATGAGGGTTAAAACTAAGGTGTATTTCGAGATTAAAATGTTCAGATTCATGGGCACCAGTTGAGCCAAGAAACTGAATACCAAGTTTTTTAAGGGGAGACCTTGAGGAGACTTTGAAGGTGACTGTCACTGAATCCATTGTCAACATGGAATCCAATTAAAAAAACTTCACTGACTCATTTTCTAGTCTGTAGATTCGGTGAATTCTCATATTCTGGTCTTTTGATGCAAGGAAGCACATCCAAGTCACTGTATGAACTTAATTACATTTAAGTTTCTGGTTGAACTTAATCACGTTTAGGTCAGTGAATCACACACAAGACACTGAACCACGCCCGTATCTTCAAAGCAGCACAATCATAATGTGGGACTTTTTACGTTAAAAGAAACAAAATATACATCAGGAACAGTCAGAAAGATCTGTGTTTGTCACCTTCGGTGAGAATCCTTACAGAACTTGATCCACTGAATAACTTCACTTAATCGTTTTGAAAACATTGTCTTAAATAAGTTATAGGTAGCGTCTTTCTGCACAGCATCAATGAGAGGTTCGTATGTCCTGGCATAGTGCTCGAGCACCTCATGGGGGCTGATGCTGCCATGGAGCTTGTACAGAGCATCCACCAGTGACTTCTGGAAGATACACATTGTCTGTAGCATTTCTTTGTGGAAGTGAAGGAAGTGTTCGCCGTTACTGCCGCTGTGGTACAGGAGGTCGTACGCATCAAGGAGCCCACTCTCATTATCTATCAACCAGAGTTTTCCTGTTGTTGTGGATTTACGAAGGTTACGAATGTTGTCTTGAATTATCTTTGGTGATTTCTCCTTCTCTGCTGCATCTTGCATACTGGCCACTCTGAAACACAGAAGGAGACAATTATATGACATGCACTTGTGAGGAGAGGTGCACGTATCATCTGTTTTTCAGAATCAAATATTGTGTTTTTCTGTTATAATTTCTTTCAGAGTGAAATAGAAAAAATTAAGTTTGCCTCAGGTTTTACCCCCACAGAAATAAGAAATGCCAGAATCATATTGTTCAGTTCCTCCTGTCACAGAAATATTTACGTCTTAATGCATGGACTGAAACAATATTCCTTCAGTTTAATACTGAAGCCTCAAACCACTCCTCTCTCTGAATATTAAATGGTTGATCCTAGACTTGTATCATTTAACAATATGTAGCGGCAAAAATAATGCTGGGTCCTGTTTGAGGGTTTGAACCACAGACCTGAGGTTAAATGCCTTGACCACTTGACCAATGAGGTTTAACCCTTCAGCTACCAAAGTTAGGAAATTATTTGTGGGATGCTTCACATAGGTACATGGTGACATAGTTCAACACTGAAGACTGAGAGACTCAAGACCTTGGATGATCAACAAGCATTAAACATGGCCCTCCTAATAAAAAAATCGACCTAACATGTTCCTTCCAGTTGTCGGTATAAAAAAGTAGGGACCTGTCATGTGCTATCCAATTGTTCAGTTTATCACTAGGGGCAAGACCATATAGGTGAATCAGCCTCCTAATAGACCGTGTCATTATCCTTCCAGTTGTCGGTAAAATGAAGTATATTACTGGCCATATCCAAAGTAGCCATTCCTACAGATGATAATACTGGCCCTCCAAAGTGGATGTTATTATGCCACAATGGATGTTATTAAACCCAGTCAGCAGCAAATTGGATGCAGTCTGAGATGGGAGACTACAGCAGTAGCTGCACCTGTTGTAACACCTTTCAAGACATCATATATTGTCCAGACTTATGGGGGCGGTGGGGTAATCTAATGGTTAAAGCATCCACTCGTCACGATGAAGACACGGGTTCAATTCCCAACATGGGTACATTGTGTGAAGCCCTGCCGTGATATTACTGGAATATTGGTAAAAGCAGCGTTAAACCAAACTCACTCACTCACTCCAGACTGTTATAACTCTCTAACACTCTATACAGTAAAACAAACTGTTAGTTCATACTCTCTATATATTTCTTTTCTCACTTGAAATTAACACAACTAAATGCAGAGATAAACCCAAACTCACTCACTCACCCAAAGTGTCATCAATACAATGGGGTTTAACCCCAAACACCACAGACTAAATTCCTTTTTTCATCTTCACCAGGGGCAGTGGGTTAGCCTAGTGGTCAAAGCATTCGCTCGTCACGCCAAAGACCCGGGTTTGATTCCCCACATGAGTACAATTTGTGAAGCCCATTTCTGGTGTCCCTGCCGTGATATTGCTGGATTATTGCTAAATGTGACATAAAACTAAACTCACTCATCTTCACCAATATATATTAAGCAAACATGTTGCTACTCAGGCAACTGGAGTGAGATAACCCATGTATTTTTACCAACCAAACTAAGAAGATAATGAATCTTTTGACATTGGGCCAAAGTGCAAGTTTCACGTAAGACATCATTAATTTTCGTGCTTGACCCTTCTCCCACTGAGGAGCTTTAGACCCTCCAAGCACCTTATACATGGCGATAATACATAACTCTTTTCTTCTATTTCAGGCGTGCAAGTTGTACATACATCAACTTGTGGTTGTGGACAACTCCTGTCACATGAATGTATTGACATTCTAGATCTATACAGCCAAGGTGGAGGAACAACGTTATTGGCAGATGTACGCTGCTTGCTCGCAGGTTGCTAATTGTAAGATGATGAAGGAGCCGGACGTCCCTGAGGAGGTAGATGGAGCTCGCTAAATGCAGACACTTTGGAAGCGGGTTTGCAGTACCGATATTAGACTCATGGAGGAAACGTCTGACTGCAGGTAGGCGATAATACTTGTCATTCTGCTGCATGCTCATTTTACTTGTGGTATTGAATGGAGTTTGGTCTTTTCAGAAAAGTATCGTCTGATGGCGTGACGGTTTTAACTTTCAAATTTCACTGCATTGATAAGTTTCATTGATGTTTGATATTCACATACATTGGTTGATGTTATCACATTTCATACTGACACAGAAAGCCCTGTGATTATTTTTCATTTGATATTCACGTAATTAAGCTTGTGATTACTTCTCATTTGATATTCATTTCATAATGAAGCTTGTGATTACTTCTCATTTGATATTCACGTAATGAAGCTTGTGATTATTTCTCATTTGATATTCACGTAATGAAGCTTGTGATTATTTCTCATTTGATATTCATGTAATGAAGCTTGTGATTACTTCACATTCGATATTCACATATACAGAAGCCTGTGATTACTTCACATTTGATATTCAAATAGAGACCCCTGTGATTACTTCACATTTGATATTCACATACAGTAGCCTGTGATTACTTTACATTTGATCCTCGCATAGAGAAGCCTGTGATTACTTTACAAATGATATTCATGTACAGCTGATCATGTATAGCACCTCTTTGGATGCTGTTGTTTCCCAATTACTTGGGGGCGGTGGGGTATCCAAGTGGTTAAAGCGGTCGCTCATCATGCCGAAGACCCGGGTTCAATTCCCCACATGGGTACAATGTGTGAAGCCCATTTCTGGTGTTCCCTGCTGTGATATTGCTGGAATATTGCAAGAAGCGGCGTAAAACTGAAATCACTCACTCACTCCCAATTACTTGACAGAAAGCTTGATGCGAAGCTGTGCAAAAGAGAAATACTTTGACACATGACCCAAAGGGTCATCATTATCCTGTAACTGAAGTGATATTTTAAACCGAAACACCTCAAACCAACTCAGTTGTACAATATTCAGGTAGACATCATTTATAGCCAATAGGATGTTAAACTGGGACATTATAATTATTCGGGGAACCGTGTCGCCTTGGGCTTGGGACATACCTATCATAGTTGCCTGTGAGGTAGTCGAAGATGACCATGGCGCCCCACTGGACAATGTCCGACAGTGCTACAGCGCTCAGCTTCTTCTCTGCAATGATGTCTGAGTTGACGATGCCCCCAGTGCGATACGCTTCCAGGATTGTTGGCGGCATCTGCACATGAGCTCTGCCAGACACAGGAGGAGGACATATTGCAGTATGTGCGACAACACTTATTAATGGTTCATTATTTAGTCAGAAAGGTGTTTCTTATCATAACAAATGGAAACATTCTAAGGATGGGAGGTTATTTGACCATATGTTAATGTTTTGAAAAGGTTGAGCTTTTGCTTACTTCATTATGATAGGAAATAATACAAGAAAAGAAAGCAGGTTATTTGACGGTGAATAATACGTTTAAAATGTTAGTCCAATATATTATTATTAAGGTTCTGAGGTTTTCTTCACTGAACTTAGGTGCTGACCTGTGTTTCCACTGGGTGTTTGTTTACAATTTTGTAAACGTGCACTCTTTGTTACATGAATCTGTTTCAAGTTTCACCCGCAGATAAATGTCTTGTGATTAATATGAGCTGTAAAACCTTTAACAGTCATACAATACATTCCATTACTGAGAAAATACATGAAATAAGAGTAAGGTTGAAGCCTCCAGGGCAGTGGGCTCACCTGCGTGAGTTCATGTTGTCTATCCACTGAATGAGGGCCACATACTGGTTGTTGCCCCACCCTAGAACTGCTGTGTCCTGACCCCGCCAGTGGATTGATGAAGCATTGATCTGGGACAGTAACACTGCTGGAACGTTGTCCATGCCCAGCAACATCGACAGGTAAAAGGACAGGACCTCACCTGCAGAAGGGAAGCAGGTTCGTTAATATGTAAGGTGTAATGAACTTGATTTGTACATAATGTACAATTTCTCATGGTTTCCCAGAGGAAATATTTACCGTTTGATGCGATTTATGATAAGCAAGTCCTACACGGTTTGACATGAAAAATGGTGACTCACAGTAAATGTTTTTGGGAGTCATTTTCTAAATTTGTGAGCCATGAAAATTTGTTGTCAATGGAATAATTTCATTATTATGAAAGTTTAAAATGCTTATTATATTCAGTGGAGTTATTTGAATTCAAGGTACAATTATTTGAAGAAATATTGCACCAACCATAACTTGTATGAAAATATATTTGAAGTATTTTATGAAATTGTTGACTCAATGTGCAGGAATTGCATGTCATGTAAAACCATGTGATATTACACACAGGGGCATAGGTATGAACTTGTTTTCAGTAATTTTCACGGAGTGTAATAATAATGTAATTGAGGGTTATTTATTCATCTAGCACATCTTCCGCAAACACAACTGCCATGCATTACGAAGTGTTAGTATTAACTTAACACAACTGCCATGTGTTATGAAGTAACAGTACTCACCTAACACAACTGCCATGTGTTATAAAGTAGCAGTATTAGCACTCACCTGACACAACTGCCATGTGTTATGAAGTAGCAGTATTAGCACTCACCTGACACAACTGCCATGTGTTATGAAGTTACGACGTGTCAGTACTCACCTGACACAACTGCCATGTGTTATGAAGTTACGACGTGTCAGTACTCACCTAACACAACTGCCATGTGTTATGAAGTAGCATTATTAGCACTCACCTGACACAACTGCCATGTGTTATGAAGTTACGATGTGTCAGCACTCACCTAACACAAGTGCCATGTTACGATGTGTCAGTACTCACCTAACACAAGTGTGTCGTGGGGGTGTCGGTATCGGGCACACATGGCTGTCCCGTCCTCCATGACAACATATCCATTCTTGGGACGTCCACAGCGATCCCAGGACGGTTGCTGGAGGCTCTTGATGTGCGTGACTCGCATCCTCCTTACCCAGCCAATCCGGCTGTAGTTGGACATACCTGGAACATAGATGTCACATGACACAACATGGTATAAAAACATATAGTTTCGGCTGAAGGGGCAGTGGGGTAGTGTGTCTGTGATGGAGAAATGCAGTACAATAGTCCAGTGTAACATAGATATCCCACTCACTCACGGTATACTGGCTGTGAGCCGACCATTCCTTGTTTTATCCCCTTAATACCAAGCACAGGGAAACAAGTACAGTAAATGTCTTAGTACAAAAAGGCAGAGGTTCAAACCACAGACCTTTCATTGAATCACTGGGCAGATGCTTTATCCGCTGGGCCACTCAGGCAGTCAGTTTAGTGCTTTCAGTGGATGGAACGTACAGTTTACTTTTCAGATTAACATGGATATTTTCATTTAACCTGTGCACCCAATTAAAAAATCATGTCTTTAGAAATATGAAAAAATGCTTGCTGACTAAGTCCCCCAAAAATATGTAATTATCATTAATGATTACAATGTGTTTTATTATTGTTTTATAGTTAATTATAATAAAAATGAGGTTATATGTATTGGATTATCAGAAGGACAAGTCTTTGTGTACTGTATTCTGAAATTCAGATGACCATGTTAAGGATCAAGGGAGACCACTCTTCCAGGACTAGCGGCATGTAAAATGTCTTGTCTGTTCTCTGACAGAGTGTCTTTACAATTTGTTTATTGATTTGAACATAACTATACAGTTAGTGATTTGTAATATATACAATAGATGAGCATCATATATGTCTCTGACATCATGCTTCTGGTGTATTTTAAACATAATATTTAATATTTCTGAGCTCAAACCTTGAGTCAATATACCATGAGAATGTCAGAATTGTTACGTCAACTAAGTCATCAATTTTCTATCATTTCCTAATTGATAAAGGTTTGCTATTTAAGATATATTGAAGTCTTTGGTTCTCGTTATATTTAATTTAGAATATTGGCATTCAAACATGAAATGATACTCATTTTCCATCTTGCTCATCGAGCATAATTTACATATTTCATCGTCTATCTATGAGCACTCAAACATAATGAAGATAGTGATTCTAGTTTTAACCTTTTTGATTAAAAGTGACAGTTTGCTGTGTATCTAGGAGGAAACATTTTCCCCCCTCTTTTTAAATAATTACTTCCTACACAATAACCAGCTGCTTCCTGATTTGTCCTTGTCAGGTGCAGTCTTACCAGCTTCCACCCACCATGGTAATCATTTGATATCAATTTGTACTCAAAGGACACACAGCTGCCTGATTTGACCCTACATTATATATAATCTGTTGTCCACCGCTAGCATCACAGCCCTGCCAACCCCGGCCCTGTATTGGGAGCAGGTGCCCCCTGACTTGTCCTCTACTCAGTGTGTGTATGTAATGGTATCTGATGGCTCAGCTCGGTAATGAAGACAAATGGGAAGTGATCATAGCCTTAGATAGGAGGACACTTCTCATCCTGTGAAGGGCTATGGAGGTGCTGAGTGTTTGTCATTTACTCCTGCGTAACCAAATGGGGATGTATTGAAACACTGATCCGTGTTGTCACATACAGATGGCGGCATGAGGACTATGTTTAAACAGATAAGAAGATTGTAGTTCCTTATGATTATGTCTGTGTACCAACATACACCTGGGGTTAACGTTGTTGTAATGGCTAAAATTCAAATACTGCCAAAGTAGTTTAATTTTTTTTTAAATTTTCTTTATTTTATTGTTTGTTTTAAGAAGTACCTGTTTCATAAAACAAGCTTCTGGTCAGGTAGTAGAAGGCCCATTACTACACCTGCACAAGTCTCTAATGTAAAAAATAATAGTTTAAATAATAATTTCTAATAAATAATAAATAGCAGACTGGACTGCTTATCTAGACCTGCCTCTTCGAAGGATAGAATTACTATACATCCATGGGCTCAGCATTCCCTACAGCCTTGGAGAAAGGCTAACCCATGACATGAAAGGAAATTTTCAACTTATCAGTACATCTCAGATGTTTTAAAGAAAATACCTTCCTTACTACTCACTCATCTAATGTAGGAATAAATAGCATGAAT